GTTTCGGGTTTCTTGTGATATTCTATTGTTGATCCCCAACGGGAGTGCATGCTGCTCTGCAGGGAGGCTACAGAGCAGCGCCTGTGGCAGAGAGAGTTGCTCAGGGACACCTGGGTCTGTGACGCCAATTTGCCTTGCTGTTGCACTGAGAAACCCGGGGAGTTAAACCTAGTCTAAAATGCTTGCAATTCCAAACACAGACACATGCACACTTCGCTTCAACGAGAAGAAACCAATTTTCACTTTGCCCCCCCCCCCCCAATAAACACAGAATGTTTTACTGTTATCTCCCATAGGTGAAGGAGCCTTTCATGAACTTCCTGTGCCATTTACAAGCTTGGCTACCCATTGAAACAATCCCTGTAATATGTTTATTGGAAGGAGAGATTTGAAATGTCCAGTAATTCTAACTAGTCAATTGTAATAAGCAGTGTGGTCAGTCAGTTGTAACAACCTTTCTGATTGGCCCATTATACAAAGCAATCTGATTGATACATTTAACAACGCTATTGGATTGACCCATCGAAACAGGCCCTCTGATTAGCGAATTAAAGCAAGCCCACTGATTGACCCATTGCATTGGAACAACACTTCTGATTGGTCCTTTTAAACAAGCCCTCTGATTGGCCCTTTGAAACGAGCCTGTTGATTGGTCTGTAGAAACATGTAATTTGTTTAGGCCATTGACTTACAATAGAGACAGTATTCCCATCAGTTACATAAAGGATACGTGTGTGCCAGTAAAGGTATAATGTAGACTTTAAGGAATAAATACAGTTTTTCAATTAAAAAATGTATTATTTTTCGTCTAAAATAGTTGGTATTTCTGTGAAAAGCTAGACAAGGAAATGTTTTGTTCAAAATAACATCCCATGGGAATACAAGTTGTAACAAAAGCTGACAAAGACGTCAGTGAAGTTGGCAGTTATAACCGGAATTACCACATTTCCCAGAGAGAAACATCATTTATTTTACGCCTGTCAAATGCCCATTCAGGGATAAGTAAAATAAAAACGTCTGACAATGTGGACAGCTTCAGACGTATTCACACAATGTGTTTAACTGTTGTTGTTTGTCTAAGAACAGATATTTGTTTTCATGACTGAACACAGTATTACATTTGAGTTAATGGAGAATATTTTTTTCTGCAGTGCAGCATCTTGCTTTGAATTTCCAAATGAGTTATCACTCCAGGATGAGGTGTAGGTGTGTTGCCTGGGCGACAGGTGAACCATTTATTGCTCAAGGTCATTGCAATGGAAAATGAGTTAATGTACATATTGTTATGTGACCCTTCCCACACCTACGTGTATGACACACAGCGAAGTGACAGTCAGAGTACATTCACACATTCAAACGGTAATCAATTTCATACTGTATTTTTCCATTACTTGCATATAGAACACAAAATATATAGCTGTGATTAAATATAACACAAGTAAATCAAAAAGTAGTACATGCTTATGTCATTTTAGTAAGTTTTGGATTCAATGGTCAAATTCCACAATCTCTTATTCCACATATACTCAACCAACATGTTCTGTGCTGGATGGACAAAACCCAAATGGAAATGTATAAGCGAGTAGACTTGTCCTTGTGTCTTAAAATACAAATAATATCAGAACTAATGAGGGGTTGCCACTTCCTGTTTACCCAACATATTAGCAAGATGCTGCCAGCTGCTGTCATGCTGTTTGGATTTGTATTTCCAGTAATTGCTGCTGATTTTAAAAGCTTGCTGTCTTTATCCCCCTTACTAAGACATCATGAACTAAAGGTACAAACACCATGAGATTGAATTATCATTTTCTACTCACTGCTTTCAGAGCAAACATTCTGCTTTTGTGCTGCATAATTTAGAGTACCTGCCAACAAAGCTCTGCTGCAAACAGCTGCTGCATCTGTAATTAGCTCTAAAGAGGCATGATTGGTGCAAAGGGAAGAATTAGAAGATAGTCAGAGTGGCAAGGAAAACATGACATGCTCATGACTGGAAAACCCCCATTTTTTTTAACAGACTAATCAAGTCGCTCAAATAAACCAGTCAACCAAGGCAGGACTTTGTATGGGCCCAGTGTCATCGCTCATGAATTTGATAATAACTTCATTGCCTCTCCATTTTTGGCCATATTGGTTTTGTTCTCTTTACTTCCAATTTATAAGATCGATAAAGCTCGGGGGCAACAGACCAAAGCAAATTAAGATGGATTGATATAACAAGGGGATAAAGGGAATTAGTTAAGGATTTTAGACAGTAAGCAAGGGGAAATAATAAAGACATTAAGAAAGAGATGAAGATGGTACAACATGTGAAAGATTAAGAAGTTTTGGTCACGGTTGTAGTTTTCAGTTTGTTGGGTATGAGTATTTGTCCTGTGGCTACCTATTTGTCTTTATTGTGTTTTCCCCCCAAAAATTAGGGAAAAGGAGGAAAAAAATATTGATTTGAAGACAAGATGTAGCAAGAGGTACAATCATTTAAAAGAAGGGGTGGTGTTAGTGATATGTGAATAACCTGCAATTACGAATCTGCCACTACATTTGTTTTGCACTATTCAATCACTGTACAGTTTTTCATATTAATTACTTCACCGTCTATGTTTCTTGTAGTTATTTAATACTACTATTGTTACTGCACTGTTAGTGTACAGTTGTATTATTATGCTGCTGTCTTTATTGTATCTTTGTAACTCTGGCAGAACAATTTCCTTTGGTATAAATAAAGTCCTTTCTTATCTTATCTTATCTAATGGCAATGCAAAGAAGGTGAGTTAGGGAAGCAAGGTTTGTTATCTGTTCATAAACGGATGCTATGTTGTTAATCTGGCATTGTTAGATATATTTTTGGTGTTCCAGAAGTTGTAAAATATCACTATGCTGTTGCTGGGCGGACAAAATGTTGCTCTTGTGTGCGTGGCAGGGCATTGCTGTGCTTGGTATGGGTGCCAGAGCAACTGGTTGCTAGGGTTTCACAAGATCTATATTGTCTTTGGTAAGGTTGCTATGGTGAATCTGGGTGGTTGGAGGTCATTTTCAGGTGTTTGCTGAGGCATATGAGTCAGTTTGATGAATGGGGTCGGTACAGAGAGAACAGCATGTTGCTAAGGTATGTTGTATTTGTTGTGGTCACTAGAGTCAAGACATTCATTACACCATTGACTCTGCCTACTGCCTACCATAAACTGTTTTAAAGAAGTTTTTGGACTACAGTTTTCCTTGCTTTTTTGGAATGAAAAGTGACACATTAGTAAATTCCAACTTAAGGCTGAACAGGGTCAATGTAGGTGATCAAAATGTTACATCTATCCCTCATGAACTGAAAAAAGGAGTCTAAAAGGGTACAAGTTTTGCAAATTCTTTCGGCTTTCAATCACAAGGGCACCACGCCCTAAAGCACACTCCGCTTTATGGTCCATGTTCTGTTTCACTGAACACCAAGTTCTATTCAAGAAAAGTTGAAACTAGAGATTGAGACCATAAACTCTTTAGAAAATGTTTTAGTGTATAAGAAGTAGGGACATTTTCTCATAGTCTTTTCACAAAAACAATGCAAGTGTAAGGCACTTCTGCATTGCCTTCCCTCTCAGACGTGAATGGTGATGCTTAGTGCCTATGATACTGGAAACACACTAACAATAATATATAACGGTAGTGTCTGTAGCCTAGCAAGCAATCAAATAATGTAATGTTCAAATCAAAGCAATTTAAAATGTCAGTGTCATTTACGTCTGTCAGTGTTTCGTGTGTGTGTGTGTGTGTGTGTGTGTGTGTGTGTGTGTGTGTGTGTGTGTGTGTGTGTGTGTGTGTGTGTGTGTGTGTGTGTGTGTGTGTGTGTGTGTGTGTGTGTGTGTGTGTGTGTGTGTGTGTACACCGCTTCCTTAGATAAATTGGCCTCATTCATAACAATGAGAGATTGTGACTTCTACTTTTGTCTCGCTATCGATTCAGTCTTCCCCATTCATCTTTCTTACTCTCTCAATAAACCTCATTGTCAGTCCTGCTTATTCTCTCTCTTATTTACCCATTATATGTATCTCTCACATTACTTATGATGACAGTGAGAGAGCCTTTGCTTCTCTTTTTCCTTAGTTTTCTTTCTACCCTCTCAATGACTTTTCTATCTGTCATATCATATTATACCTCCTAAAAACCTTTTCTAATTATTTTGTTTATCTCTCAAACACTTTTCCCTTTTTTGTACATATTTTCCTCCTTTTCCGTTATTTTCTGTGCTTCTTTCTCTGTCTGTGTGACTCTCTCCTTTGTCTCGATTTGCAATCTTCATCATCAGACTGTTTTCCCCTGCTTTGCCACAAATGGGGAACTTTAGTTATCCGTAGCCTCATCCCACCGTATCAATGACTTATACACACAAGTGGAATCTCCATAATGCAGTGCTTTTTCCACATGCGCTGTGTAATTGCATTTCCTTTATGTTACGCCACATTCAGCAGTCTGATTTGATTGTATTGCTCCATAAAAGACAGAAGGCGTGTAAGACGGAGAGAGGAGGATAAGAGGTTTACGTTCGGCCTTATTGGCGGTAAGAAAATGAAACCTTGGAGGACACATTAACTTATCCATGCATGTGAATATTCAATCACTCCGGTCTATAGCAAACACACATGCAGGGACAATACCATTCAGCCTATTTCATCTACTAAACAAACCACCTGAGGTAACCTTTATAAGTATACATGTATGTAATTAGTTTATTTAATCCTTTCTGAATTCAAAATCTGCTATTTTTATATAATAAAACACAAAATATTATTGAACTTGAAAACAATGAGATAGATAGATTTCAGAAGATATTCTGAAAGCCAAGACTTTGTTTGTTTAGAATCAACCAAAAATGAACCCCCAAATGACCATCACATGAATCGACGAGTATCTCAGAATGCACCGTTGCAACGTCGACTGATTTCGATAGAGCGGGTCACAGATTTCACAATATCACATTAAACAACAAATGTTGACCCTCTCTCCAACTGTTGCAGGAAGTGCCGGTACTCCAGTGGTTTTCAACGAGAACGGGGACGCTCCAGGAAGATACGACATATTCCAGTACCAGCCCACCAACAGGTCTACTGCAGAGTACAGAGTCATCGGCTCCTGGACCAATAAACTGCACCTCAAAGTGAGTCTTACACACACATATACACACATATTCAAAAAGTCAAGAAAACACATACAATTGTGTCATCAGCTTGCTGTAATTTGAACCTTCTTTTGTATCTGCAATTTTCTTCTGTGTAACGAAATAATCTAAGATATATATTGGTTTGAGTGGTTTATTGACACTAAAGCTTTTGGCTGGATTTGTTTGAAACATTGCATTTGATTGGATGCAAAATTAAGCTGAAATCAAGAGTAGATATGTACTTCTCTTTAGAATGCTGTGTGTTGTTCAGGGCAGTGGGTGCATTGGCACTGTCAATCCTTTTGGGGCACCACTCTGCACTGCACCGTTCACACACTTACCGAAAAACATTCAGAGTTGTCCAAAGCTAAGCTCTTCACTGGCAGCTTTAGAATGAATCCCACAATCATTTAAATGTTTTTCTTTTTGGGGACCTGATTTGAGGTCCCCATGATGTGAGTGTGTAAACAGATTGATGTCCCCAAAATGTGAGAAATACCAACACACAACACACACACACCTATATTATCTGTGATTGTCTGCCTACACTTCAGCGTACACCTGAACTTCGTGTACATCCACGATGAACAATTAAATTCAGTGGACAAGAAGGCTGGAATCCCATTGTCTGTGTATTAGTTTCTTACTCACTGACTTACACACACACACACACACGCACACACGCACGCACCCACACACACCTTGAGCACACTGGTGTGCTTGATGTTTTGAAATCCACCATGGACTTCATTAGAAAGGCCAGATGACAGATGAGAAGACTAATAGTCACAAAATGCTTTCTGCCTGATGGACGGCCTGGCTGACTGAGAGAGAGAAAGAGACGGCAGCAACACAAAGGACACACACTAGTTAAGACACACATGACTGGACTCTTTGACAGATGACAAATTAACAGATGTATTTGATTTGTTTAACAGTCCAGTCGGGTTTGAAGGCACAGCAGCAGATGTAGTAACGGCAGCAGTTGAAAGTTTTCACCATCAACACATTGTTTGAACGCTTATCAGGAGAAAGAGTACGGTGGCCGACAGGTGCAAAATGCATTATATCGGCCCAAAACATTTCCATGAAAAACTTGCTACATTAAAAAAACTATGCAAATAAAAAAAAAACACATTAAGAAACGTCTTCTTTTTGTCAGTATATTTGAAATGACTAGGTTAGCTACGTTAGCTAGCTAGTTTCCAGCAAATCTGCAATCATTTTGCGGTCCCAGATGTGTGCATCACTTTTTAATGTCCCCATTGCCGTTGTGTTTTGAGCTTGCAGCGTTTTTTATGTGCAGTGTTTCATTTATGTAGTGAGAGCTTCGCATGTATCGCCAAGTTGGTGAATGTATTCTAAATCTGTGGTCAAGTTGGTGAAGGTGTTTCTTCATTTGTATGAGCTTTGACACATTTGTGTTTTTAAAATGTGCATAGTTTTTGAAAGTGCAGCGCATTTTTCCTAATGGAAATGTTTTGGGGAGTGTTAACGCGTTCGCACCAGTTGGCCATCGAAAAGAGAGAACATCTCTGTGCAACAGGACAAACCTCAAAGTATCATTGTAAATGTTTTGTTGGACAGTACTTTGAAACAGTTATGGCGATGGTTATAATATAAGCAGATGCCTGTTACTCTTATTATTGTTTCCTATAAGTAATTAATGGGATGAAGGTTCACGACCTGTGTTGTTTTGGCTGGTGGATAATTTATGGTTATTGTTGCAAATTAAGGTGTATGTGAAATGTTTCTGCACTAACTTTGTAGGCTATGAATAAATAATGAGTACAAACACTGAATAAACATCATCAAGCAGTACCTAATAAACAAAGTTTCAAAAAGACAATTTACTCTTTTTCTGATCATTTAAATATTTTAACCTGACAGATACATTTGCAGCACTGAGTTATGAACCACCAGTAACCCAATATTGTTGTTCAAGTGTTGCAAGAGTTTCTATATGCGTTTCAATGATCAAATCAGGCCCATTTTCTCTGTCCCTGATGAGTTTTTCCTCCTAACTAGTTTTTGTTGCACTGGTACTTTGTGTGCCTGTTTAAAACAGTAACGCTCCATTTTTACGAAGCTCCATTTTTACTAAGCACCCTCGGCGATGGAGGAACCTCCGGGACTGGGTATAATTACAAACTCTCGCACACATAACAAAGAAATTAAAACGCACGCGTACCAGACAAGGGGTTCTTGGTAATACCAGCATGACACAAGCACAAACAAACTAAATGCACACATGGAGGAACATGTCCACACACACACACAGACACAAATACAGATGGCCTGTGTGTGCCAGATCTGATTATGATCTGATTGCTGGCTTCCAGACTCGCTGATGTTAGTTTTGTGGCCGGCAGCGTTCAGGAAAGCGATCAGAGGATCTGCGTGTGCTAATTGCTCTCCAAGTTGCCCTGAAGACTCACAGTCTGCAGGTACAGAGAGTGATAAAGGACTGTTAACACAAAGTAATGCCAGCTTCAGCACATGGGAGCCAGTCTTTGTGTCGCATAAAATCCCACAAAATGGAGGGAAGTTATGTTTTGCTTACATGAATACACCAATAATGTCTGGTTTGTACTGATGCACTTAAAGGTGGGGTAGGTACGTTTGAGAAACCGGCTCGAGATACACTTTTTGTTATATTCCATGGAATGCTCTTAACATCCCGATAGCAATAAATATCTTAAGTGCTTTGACAAAAAATCCATAAAAAAATATCATCTGTGGAAGCCGTAGAACTGTAAAAAGCATGACCAATCATCTGAGCCGGCCCGGCTAAAATAACTGGATGGCCTACCTGCCTGTCAGTCTTCCATCTGTGCACAAACTTATCTCGTGCCCTCATTGGTCATGTGCGCGTTCGTGTGTGTTGGAGGACGGGCTCTGTAAGGAAGTGGCAGATTTTTTCCGGCTGTGTATTTTCAAATTCTAGCGCACTCGAGCTGGTTTCTCCAAAATTACCTACCCCACCTTTAAGACAAAACACAACACAAATATCATACTTTCTCTAATGATCTCATCTCCTCTGCTCTACTTGCTTGTTCTGGAGAGACTGCTGAAAGCCACACTGACGGTGTATTACTCTTTTTATCAGTCGGGTGGTGTAGTGATGACATATTTGTGTAGGCCAACCCGGAAGTTAGCATCCCAAGTGTCCCCTTGTGGATTTACTCTGGGCTCAGCAGGTGAACAACTAAAGAGGGGCTTCCACATGTGGCAAACCAGGTGTTGGTGCTGCCGGATTTGGCACCCCCCCTATAACTTTGTCCAGGGTGGTTCTACGCCCACCAAAATCACACTGGTGTTTGCTGTTCACCTGTAGTTTGTGCACATAAAAGCATTTTACTCTGGGCTCAGCAGGTGAGAAACTAAAGAGGGGCTTCCACATGAGGCAGACCAGGTGATGGTGCTGCCGGATTTGGCACCCACTATACATTTGTCCAAGATAGTCGTACTGTAACCAAAATCACACTGGTGTTTGCTGTTCACCTGTAGTGTGTGCACACAAAAGCATTTTACTCTGGGCTCAGCAGGTGATAAACTAAAGAGGGGCTTCCACATGAGGCAGACCAGCTTGTGTTAACCACAGACCTTATTTCAAGCGTCTAACCAAAAAGACATTCACAAAACCGCTCACTTTGAGACGAGAGAACCAGAAGTGGTAAAATGCTAAATATTTCCGGGTTTTGGGACTGATTCCTGCACCACTCTTTATTCAGGCTTTGAGTATCTTATAGGCTGTTGGGAGTGGTGTGGGTAGAGAGCTGAACATTTCTGATCAACGAAACACATTTATATGTTTGAGTGACAGGTTCTGTTGTATTCAAGGCCTACGTGATGACGTGATCTTTTATTTCCCTGCAATGGGTCTTCAAAAAAAATGTGGAAAACAAAACCTGTTCTCTTTTCCTCTCTCATCCCCTCTTCACTCCTTTTTCTCTTCTTCTCTCTTCTCCTTTCTCTCCTCTCCTCTCTTCTCCTAGGTGGAGGCCATGCGTTGGAAGACAGGTGACCCCTCGCTCCCCCCCTCTGTGTGCAGCATGCCATGCCGTACAGGCGAAAGGAAGAAAGTGGTGAAAGGTGTGCCGTGCTGCTGGCATTGTGAGCGCTGCGAGGGATACCACTATCAGGTAGATCTCTGGAGGAACTCATGCTTCACAATTCGCCTGAGGTGCTAAACTTTCGGGTTTGTCTCACATCTCTCTTATGTCTATCTCTGTTGTATGCATTGAGAATTTAGTATAAACTTAAAAACCATTAAGACAAAAAAAAGCTTACTTTACAAACAAAATGTAATACTGCGTGTTGTTCAATTGGTAAAGGACATTCCTGCCAGCAATTGTCTGATTACTCTGCAGTACAGTTCTGTTCCCCTTGAGTCAGGATTTTTTAGTTCTAACTCATTTCAGGCAATCACAAAAAAAACGAAAAACTTAGATGGCCCTTTTAGGATTTACATATGCAGCAAGAAGCCCACAGATGCTATTATATTTAATGGAAGTACATCATTTGCGAGAAAAGGGTCCGTTACACCCCCCTGGTTAATTACATCACAGTTAGGGACAATTTGGCAGCCGATCATCGTTATATTAAGTTAAAAAGTCCGTGTACGATCAAGTCTTTGTGCAAAGAGTTCCCTCGCTCAGGAAGCAATAAAGGAGAACAGAAAATATGAGCCAAGACAGCAGCTGGCGATGTCATAGTGAGCGATCAATACTCATTCTGAAGATACATGCATTAGCTGTAAAATCAATAATCTCTTTGACACAATTAGGATTTTAGTGGATAGTAAAATAGCACTGCAGCATGACAAAAAACAAATAGCTTAACTATAAAAGAAAGATGGTGTACAAATCTTTATTTTTCATTAGGCAGTCTGTTTAAAGAGGTACATGACACACACAAACTCATACTCTGTTGCTTAGTAAATAAATCAGCTGCTTTTAATGTTGGATTTACAGCATATTTACATAAATGTGGGAGCTTTAAGGTTAGGTTATGGGTTAGTTGATTTATATAGCGTATTTCAGACAAAGGCAATAACACATAATAACTACAAACGGTACATTCAACGAAAGAAAATTCATAAAAGAGAGAAAATAGTTAAGAATAGACATTGTAAATACACATAATGCTGCGAGAGGTGCTGAAGTGCAATGATAAAATATAGTTAAATGACTTTGAAAAGAACCCGGCTTTTGGGCGGACCTCAGATTCTCAAGACATTTTTTCCAGGTCTGCGGAAGAAAAAAAACTACGGAAGAGGATTAGGGCCACATGAAAAAAAAAAAAGGGGATTTGAAAAAAATGAAAATATTGTTTTAGTTCTGAGTTTTCTCAGAATTCTGACTTTTTTCTCAGAACTGAAAAAAATATATATATTTGTTTCACATCCCCACATTTTATTTTTCATGTGGCCCTAATCCTCTCCTGTAAAAAGCAATAAAAGCTGTCTCAAGGAATTTGGTTTTAACCCTGGGGATGATAAGTAAACCCACCCCCAATGATCTGAAAGCTATGGCTGGCTCGTAACAAAGTATACATACGGACAATTTTTGTGTTGTGATGATGGAGCTAATATACCCGTTTAACTTCCAATATCAAAACCGTCTGTCCCCAGGCATCAGAGTTCACCTGTGAGCTTTGTCCCTACGAGATGCGACCCGATGTCAACCGCACCGGCTGCGTTCCCATCCCCATCATCAAGCTGGAGTGGCATTCCCCCTGGGCCGTCTTCCCCGTCTTCATATCCATGCTGGGCATCATCGCCACCTCCTTCGTCATCGTCACGTTCGTGCGGCACAACGACACGCCCATCGTGCGAGCGTCCGGGCGGGAGATGAGCTACGTGCTGCTCACGGGAATCTTCCTGTGCTACGCCATTACGTTCCTGATGATCGCGACGCCTGATGTCGGGGTGTGTTCCCTCAGGAGGATTTTCTTGGGCTTGGGCATGTGTTTCAGCTACGCAGCGCTGCTAACCAAAACCAACAGGATACACCGCATCTTCGAACAAGGGAAGAAGTCTGTAACAGCCCCCAGGTGAACACTACACCTCACTGTCAGTACACACACTCTCTGTTTGACCGCCACGTGCATTTGGAGTGTTGGGAACGAAAGGTCGTGTGTTTTTCCGATGTGTGTATTCGTACCAGAACCTCCGTTTCTCCCTTACTAAGCTACACACAATTATTATTCATCATTTATTTCTCATCCATTATTTATGAGTCATGAACTCGCACTCACCCATTGTACTGTTTGCTCTCATTGTGAGTGACTCTGGGAGAGAGCATCAACTAAGTGGCTAAAATGTTTATTTAATAGAGCTCAGGTTCCTGTCCCTGCTGCCCAGATGGTCATCTGTCTTTCCCTCCGCCCATCCGTAACAGTTAGTGTAATTTTACAGCTATTAATCAAACATTTTTCTATGATAATTACTGTAGGAAATACAAATAATTCTGTGTGACTTGCTCTTACTGGAAAACGTGAAGAAAATACACTGAACAAAATCAAGGGAGGGCCACTATGGGATGCATTTTGAGGCTTTTTCCAGTTTCCAGTATGTAATATTCAGCAGGTAGTCAGCCTCTAAGCAGCTGTTGAGCCCGGTGAATAGAACCATACGTTTGTTTTCACAGTGCATTTGCAGGAGGAAATGATAGCTTGTGTTTTTGAGTATTGTTTGCCCCCATTTATGTCTCTCTGGCATCCTGGATGATCATCTCGTTCCCTCTATTCAGCGTTATATGTTTTTCTCCCCACTGCCCATGTTTTTCATTATTGCCTCAAATCTCACCATTACCTTTTCCCTGATCTCCCTCCAACACGCAGTGTGTGTTTGAATGGGCTACATAGAATATGTTAGATTGCTGCTGTAGAGCAGACGCCTTGAAGAGGTAATCTTTAGGCACCAAAGGACTAGTTTTCGGGTTGGTGGGCAAGGTATTGGTAAAGTAACATACCTTATTGGCCAAAGAATTTAATTCAACATTTCTCAATATTTTTATGTAACATTGATACATTTTTAAAGCACACATTTTCCTGTGAGAAAAACATCTGACCATGGGTTGCCCCACTCAAAATGTAATCTTTAACTCTGCTACTACGAGACAAATCTTAGACCAGGTCAAGTCAAGTCCGAGTCAGGACCGAGTCTTAAGGCAGTCAAGACCAATTCAAGACTGAGTTCAGAACAAATCCAGTCGTGTTCAGGACCGTACTGGACAATAGTATCTTTCCAAAACGAACCCTCTGCTTTACGTAACTGGATGTAAGCGGCTTAGACAAGTTTGTTTTACAATACCATACACTATGATAATACTTGATTGCCAGATAAAGGGAATGCCGAACTCTCCAACGCACAATAAACAAGGATCTGACAGAGACTTAAAGGAAACCAGAACTTAAATACACATTTAGAACTAATCACAGGCATAAGACACAGCTGGGAAGGGAGGAAAAACAGTCCAAGACAAGTCCAATACTTTAAAAAATGGACTCAATTCCGACACAGCCCTGCATTATTTCTCTGCTGCCGCTCATACCAGTGATCCTCTCCTCCCCAGGTTAATCTCTCCCGCCTCCCAGCTGGCCATCACCTTCTCGCTCATCTCAGTCCAGCTGCTGGGCGTCTTCGTCTGGTTCGCGGTGGACCCCCCCCACACGGTGGTGGATTACGGCGAGCAGCGGACCCAGGATCCGTTGTCGGCACGCGGCGTCCTCAAGTGTGACATCTCGGACCTGTCGCTCATCTGCTCCCTGGGTTACTCCATCCTGCTGATGGTGACGTGCACGGTTTACGCCATCAAGACGCGAGGCGTGCCCGAAACATTCAACGAGGCCAAGCCCATCGGATTCACCATGTACACCACCTGCATCATCTGGCTGGCGTTCATACCCATCTTCTTTGGAACGTCACAGTCCGCAGAAAGGGTGAGTGCCTTTGTTTTATGTATTCAATCCTACTAAACACCTTACTTATACTATATACTAGTATACTTAATACTTTAAAGGTCCCCTATTATACTATTTTTCATCAATATATTATAGGTCTCAGATATATAAAAAACATGTCTCTGAAGTGTTTGGCTCCAAATACCAAACAGATCATTGCAGCATCCCATAATCCCCTCTGTTTCAGCCCTGTTTCCAAAGTGCTGATTCTCTGTCTGTTACTTTAGATGAAAATAAGGAGCCCCTCCCCACGCCCCTCTGAGAGATATTTGGTTAAAAAGAACACAATGGTGCTCTAGGAGGAGATTCAGGTGATAAGGGGGGGGGGGGGGTTACCTTGGTTGGTGATTGGCTAATGGTTACACAAGCCAAAAAAACATTATGACATCATAAAGTGGCCAAAATCTGATCAGCTCATTTTCAGACAGGTTTTTATATAAATGGATCAGGACAAAAAGAGAGAGAATCTTTTTTCCTGAAACTTTCAGAGTCTCTTTACACAGAGGGGACACATGTTGATGTAGAAGAGACATGAAGAAGAGGGGACACATGTTGATGTAGAAGAGACATGAAAAAGTGTATGTTGCATAATAGGTGACCTTTAACTGCTGTTTTTAACTATATTTGATGAACTACAGTCTACAGAGAGTGTGAGTATATTGCAGATGTCTTTCCTTCATCCCCATCATCTTTAGTCTGCAAAGAGGATGAAGCCATGGTGTGCGTCTCCCTGTTGGATTACCCTGTATATGACCTGTTTGGGATTTAAAGCAATTTTCTTTGAGACACTACAGTCTGCAAAAAAATATGTCTACTGTGGGAATGTGTTCCTGGTGTGGCTTGGATTTAGATGATTTGTGTTTGATACTAATGTATGTGTGTGAAATGTCTTTTATAAGATGACAATTCCCTGACAGGCGGGCTGGCATGTGTGGTTTACGGGCTTTCTGTGAGCATGAAGGAACTCTCCTGAGAACCATTTTGCAGTATTTTTAAGTTTTGGAATCACTTTTTTTGAGTCATACATTTGCATGATTTGCTATGGCAAAAAGTATATATTTCTCTCTTTCCAAGACAGCCTGTGGGAGATAAAACTGTTTCTCCTGGCACTGAGGGATAGATTTGTTTTTCAGTTGTAGCTGTACTAATGGTTGGGCGTCCAAAACCTCCTGACAACCCCCCGCCAGTAAAAGAGGATTTACAGTCTGACTTATTGACTGGATCCTTGCCCTGGTCCACCTTTTAGAGGGTTGTGCTGTAGAGCGTGTTCCTCCTACTTTTAGTCAATTATTGATGGCTATATGATGTGAGGGAGATGTAACTTTAACGTGTGTGTGTGTGTGTGTGTGTGTGTGTGTGTGTGTGCGTGCGTGCGTGCAGCCTTTACAGAGTTCATCTAAAGTGCAATGGTTTTGTTGCGGAAGCACTGCAGTTATATGTATGTTGGGTTTTCTTTGATCATGTGAGCTGTCTGTTATCATCTTCTACAAATGTAATGTATTTTAGAGATCCATATAGAGTCAAAAATACTTTTATTTCTTGGGGCAGTAGTTACCAACATGGTTAATCTCAAGGATCACAAAATAACACAAAAGAGAGAAACATTTTGTTATTCGATGTTGCCTTTCTTTTGCTTTTGGAATGCTTGGTGTTTTCACTTCAATCAATCAGTTAATCAAAATACTTTATTCACCCCAGGGGGATATAAGGGTTTGTGACAGTTGCACCATATTAGAATGAAAGTAAAACCATGCAATAAAAGTATTTGTAGCCACTGGGATTGGCGTCTTAGGCACAGGAACGAGGCAGGACGTAGTATTAAGTATTAAAAAGTATTAAACGGCATTTTCCAACTTATTACATTTAGTAGCTTGTTTTCAATAAGTATATAAATTGTCCAAAGCGGTTGTATTCTACAGTCTGCCTGAATGTAATCATTGCGTAGGTGTGTGGTGTGATTCTGTGTAGTTTATTTATGGCATCCCGTTGGATTTTGACGTCATCTGAACAGGACATCGCACGCTCACTGCTTGATAGCGCGCGAAGGTTCGTTTACGCCGGTTGTTAAACAACATCGTTATGGGGAAATGCAAGTTTGCGTCCAAATGGTTGGAAGATAAGGAGGAAGGACAATCAATACTGTATATAGTCAATGTGAGGTAAAGTGTGTCGCCAATGTAACCGGTTAGAACTCAAAGTGGCGATGAGGTCTTAAAATGTATGGAAAGGGTCTTAAAAAAGGTCTTAAAAGGTCTTACATTTGACTTCAGGATTCCTGCATATACCCTGGACAAACATTGTTGATGGAAACCTTGATGGTAACGTTGTCCAAACAGTCCGGAAGCTATCAATGGGAGCGTTGTTCTCAGATATATCCTGGTGCAGCCATGTTTCCATAAAACATATTTAACCACACTCCAGATATTCCGTCTGAATCCCGGCTAACACTGTTAGCTTGATCGTTCCACAAGCCAGTGATCTTACGTTGCCCATGCTGAGAGGGTGGAGACCAGGCTTTTGTTTCCGTTTCCCATACATCTGGACCCAGCTCTCCCCCATCTGCTCTTCAGTTTCCCCATCCTTTGTCTCCTTCTCCTGATTTCCTTGGACATAGGTGTTGTTCCAACCACTATGCTAGCTGGCGTTAGCGTGATCAGCTGTCCTGTGGGTATATCAAGCCTCTTATAGTCAATTATTTGTTTTACTGCTCATCGGTCATGTTTTTGATCATAGGATTGTGAAGCACCTTGAGATGATGTTGTTTTTAAAGTGTGCTATATAAATGAAATGTATTATTATTATTATTATATGTTCATATTAGCTCCATAACCTTTCTTTGAAGAAACGATTTATTTTGACAATGAAGGTTAGGAGCCACTACCTTATGGAAACAATAAGGGAGTTTATACAGTTAGTTATTTGGCAGCCTAGAAGAGATGTCCTTTGACCTTATCAGTAGAAATCAGGGCATGAACGTACAAACACTCAACCAGCACATCTGATTCATAACAATACAGTGCACACACAATAAACCATTGTGTTTACCTGCATGCAGTTTAATGATCCCATTACTTGATAGTGTGGCTATAGTCTCGTTTTTACAACAAATCCCTTCATTGAAATTCAAGGCACGTCTTTGATTGCAGATGTCATAGCTACTACATCACAATAAACATTTGTATGCTGCAAATGCACACATATGGTAGATAGATAAGCACTCTGCAGGCATTGTGGTGAACACATAGATAGCCCTTTATCATTCACAGGTTCAAGTATAACATAATATGCACATAAATGGTAGGGTTACAAAACCTCAAGCTGTTTTGAAGGGAAATGTATCAAATCAAGTACAGATACAAAGGGTGTCCTTGAAAGAGCATCCATCTCCACAATCTCAAAGTCAGTCCAGTTGTGTGGTCCTCTTCCACACAAACACTGACTGCTTGTGTGTCCCAATAAAAGATGCAACTCTTACAGTATAGATCTCTCCTTATTTCCGAGTGTCAGCCTAGCAATTTCCATTTCTCCATTTTCTGGCGTCTTAGCTCATTTTTCCTTCTGAGGCGTGTGCCCGCCTCCGTCGCATGACAACAAGCTGACATCAAAGTGATCCAGTCTAATCACACATCAGGGAAATCAGACTCTTGCTGGATGTTTCATGCCGTTTTGCCTTTTGCTCACTTTCGATACGGGAGAGAGTTACGATGCAGGAAGTATAAAGTGAATCTCTGAAGTTTGTTTCCCTTTCTTTGGTAACACTTTACAAACACCATCATTAACACATGTTTAATTGATAGCTAATTCCATGTTAGTAAATGGTGATTATCCTGTTAACAAAAAATGAAATGATAATTAATGTTAACAATTTGTTTTAATGAAATCATTTGGTATCTCAACAGTAATTGTTGTGGTGCACATATAATACCATCTTATATGTGTTAATCATTATTAATATGTTTATGAAGCATCTATAAACATTAATTAAATGGCTATTATTAAGTGTAAACTAATGATTATAATGTGTTGTTAAATGCATAATAAATACTTTGTAAAGCATCTATTAACATATTTGATAGGTACTTAATATGTTGGTTTCTGGTCCCTTTTTCAATGTAATTTTTTAAGATATGTATTTGGCCTTTATTATGATGCAGTGCTGAAAGGGGGGGGGAATGACATTGCCTGATATTTTTAAATCTTATTAAAGGTTGACACATCATTTGGTAATAACTTAAAGTGGACCTATCATGCTATATTTGAATAATATAGTGTAGGACCATACCTATATAAGGCATATTTATACTTTACTTTTTTTTAAATACCAAACAGATCATGCATTTTAGCCATGCCTCATTTCACTCTGTTTTTGCAAGGGCTGATTCTGTGAGAACAGCACCACCTACAGGCCTGGCATATGTACTACAGCGTCTCCAGCACTTTCGAACGGCAATGGCCGTGGCTGTCTCCTCCTGATTGGTGGAGTTGGCCCAATAGCCGTAGCGCCACCGTCCTGACGTCAGGACAGTGTTCAAATCTGGATCAGTTTTTATCAGATCCGTTGCAGCCCCTTTTTTAGAGATTTGGGTATGGAGGAAAATAGAGAGGGTTGTGTTTTCTGACACTTGGTGAGTTCCCTGGAACACCGGGGACACATATTCATGTATAAAAGACGTACAAAAGTGCATTTTGCATGATAGGTCCCCTTTAAAAGAGGTTTCAATCTGGTCATGGGTTTTGCCAACCATATGCAGTGTTGGGCAAGTTACTTCCAAAATGTAATACAGTACATATGACTTATTACTGTCTTTTTAAAGTAATAAGTTACATTACAATATTACTGTCTCTGAAATGTAATGAGTTAAACTACTTTTATATTATACTTTTGAGTTACTTTCACCAAAAATAACCGCAAAAGAATGGCTAGGTATTTTAAATGCTAAAATGTAGTTTAGTGCAGCTCATCATACATCCAGTGAAGG